ATAACTGCTCCCTGGAGGAACAACCAGAAAGGGAGAGCCAAGGGGTGCCTGGCGCTTTGGCTCAGCTCCTCTCTGAAGTGGCTGTCAACACCTTTACCTTAGACAGAACTGGGTGCTTCTGCCCACACCCTCATGGGGCAGGATGTGTGGGTGGGCGCAGAGCCGAGCTCTAGGTGCAGGCAGGGCTGGGACTGGCACCCACCTTCTCTTGCCCCATCCTTCGGGGGAGCCACACTCCTGCTTCCAGAGCCCCTGCCACCATCAGCACAGGCACTCTGTCTTTCACAGCCCAGAGGACAGCAGCAAGGGGCATGGGACCTAGAAATCCAAGTGGTCAGGGCAGCTGAGCAAAAAAGTTGTGGGACCCTTGATGCTACCGAAGGCCCTGCCAGCCTTGCCACCTGTGGTCCTGCTGTTCCTCAGAGAGCATGCCAGTTCTTGGGTCACTCTGATACAACACCCTTTGTTTTGCTTAGAGACCTGTTTATTATGGAAGGCCCATCTCTTTATCTGGATATTGGCTCCTGTTTACTGTTATCAAAGCAATGCTCAGAGCAGAGTCTGACACAAGAAAGTCCTCAGAGAACACCTGTTGGGTAACTATGGCAATGCTCCCTTTGTTCTGTCCCTTGCCAGAGGGTCCATGTAAGGACAGCAGGAATGAGTGGTACAGGGATGTTGGGACCTGAACTGGACTGTGTGGAGAGGAGACTGCCGGGCACCCAGTATCAGCCTTTGGATGCTCAGCATATCTGGATCCCCTGTGATCTCGGTGATTCAGCCATTTCCGAACTGGCCCAGAAGCCTCTCTTCTCCTTACTTCTCTTGGCCAGTCCCAGCAGCAGCTGCCTGGACTCCTCTTCAGGAAAGTAGCAGCCCCCCTACACCCTGGCCATGGATGGTAATGGAGGGTAATGCCTGAGGGCTTCCTGAAGAGGGTGAGGTCACCAGAGCCTCCCCATTTTCCGGGAGACTCAGCTTAGACAGCTGGGCAGTGGCCAGGAGCTGCTCGGCCTATCTCAGAAGTGAAGGTCCAGGGTAGGCACTCATAGGGGAGACTGGGTCATCCTCTAGGGCTCTTGCTAGGTTGTTATCGGATCTGAGATACCAGCTAAATGGCCCCATTGATCACCTAACAGAGCTTGGGGCAGTGCCTAGGAAAAGTGGCAGGAATGGAGGTAGCAGAAGGCATGGGCGACATTTTATCTACGTTGGGTGGTCAGCCAGAGCCTGAGTCTGAGCCAGCTTATCATTTCAGTTGCCTTCTCCACCTTGAGAAGTGGATCCTGTGGCACCTCTCTGTTCTGCGACTGTTGTCCCCTCACAGCAGGGCTGGGCTTCCTAGGCAGTCAGAGCAGGACAAACAGAGGGAGCACAGCACCCCATTTCCTCTTCCTCCTGCATAGAGTAGCCAAGTTGTCCTGTTATTACTGCTTGCCAGGCATTGTCAAACTTGTAGTATCTTCTGGAACCTAGCAACCACAAGGTGAGAAGGCCTAACCGTCCCCCTTTTACAGACCTAGAAAGCTGAGGTGTGGAGCAGTTAGAAAGCTGGTGCCCCGGAGGTCTCCCTAGTGCTCAGAATCCTTTGAGCTGTAGTCTGACAGACAAGCCTTAGGACCACTCCCAACAAACCCAAAGGGAAACAAGGATGTAAACGAAGCATACCTGAGGATCCTGGGAACAAACACTGGAGTAGAACAGAGTGAATGAACACTACCTAAGAAAGTGGGTGTGGCGTTAGCTTTCTTGCAGCCTGCCAGAAAGGCAGACCAGCCACGGTTCCCCGGGGAAATTGAAATGCACAGGAAAGGGGGAGGCAGGCCCCCTACTCATTTAGAAAGATCTTAAAACCTGCAACTGGGGACTGCACAGCAAAGAGGGACTTTGGGGGAGGGAAGAAAGAATTAGCAAAAAGAAAAAAAAAAAGCCCACTGGCAAAGCGAGGGGGCTGGATAGAAAGGCACGTGTGGATGAATTTTAATGCAATCAGAAAGCTGCCATAATGATAATAAAGGAATACATTCAGACGTCAGGAGAGGGGAGGCAAAGAGCTGTGTCCTGGCATTTAAATCAGGCTCTGTGGAGGAGCTGCCTGCTTTTCCCTGCCTTTTTCTTTCTTTTTTTTTTTTTTAATTAATTTATTTATTTATTGTGTGTGGCCAGCTCAGCCCACCAGGGGGCGGGGCTGGCTGGCATGTGGTGCTGGGGGATTGAACTGCAGTCCCTGTGCTTTTGTTTAACTTAGCTTGTTCTAAGTAGGTGCCTTAGACCACTGAGCCATCTCACCAGCCCTCCCTGCCTTTTTCTTTCCAAGGGACAAAACAGAATTTTCAAGGATGAGGTCCAGGGAATAGCAAGGGAAAAGCCCTCGCCTTATAGTTTTTGTGGCAATCCCTTTTAATCTGAGCCTTTAAAAGGCACCAGGGTTGGGGGGCACTGGTCGTTGCCTAGGAAAACTTTCAATCCTTCCCTGAAGAAATGAGAGACCTCTTTTCATTTCAAGTGAAATGATGCTGCTACACCAGAAGGCAAGCCCAAGAGTGCCCTACCTTTTTTTCTGTCTCTTTCTGCTCATCTCTTCCTTCCTCTTTATCTCTAATTCCTTTTCCTCTGCCTCTTGCCTCCTGCCTTCCCCATTCCATTCCTAACTTCACCTCCTCCCATCCCACTTCCCTTCACCCCTTTCCATCACTCTCTTCCTTCCTCTTGATTTCCTTGTCCCCACTGCTCCTACCCCACTGCTCCAACCCTGGATTTGGTGAGCCGGGGCCCAGAGTCCTAGAGATGGGGTGGATACTCCTCAAAGTCCTACTGTGACCTGGAGCCAGGAGAGCAGACTTGGCTGGGAGAGGGAGAGCCTTGGTGAAAGCCCACCTATGGGCGAGGCCATGCTCATGCTCCCTGACCCGGGACTGGTAACAAGAAAAGTTGTGCTCTGTGGGTTATCAGAGGAGAAGGCAGCCAGCACTAGCTCATCACTGGGCATGTTTCCTGTGCTCAGTGCATCTGGGGTTGAGGGTCTCTGGAGGGCAGTGGTCAGGGGTCTCTGCATAGGAGGACATGGGGTAACTATTCTGGTTTGCTCCAGACCACAGAAAAGCCCTCAGTTCTAGCGAACTCTCTCGGCAATGAGGGCCCTCTGAGGGAGAAGGAACTGACCACCTTGAGTATAGAGGGACATCAGGGTCCTTGAGTGACTCTGTGTTCAGAGGAAATCACAAATACATAGCCAACTGCAGTTTGGCGAGGACCCATCTACACACACAGTCTCTTCTGTGTGTAAGTCTTGTACCAGTCCACAGATGTTTAGTGAGTCCCTGCTCACCAACGGGATTCCACTCCAGTTACTATGCCACATAGCAGTTTCGCCCAAAACCAAGCTGCATGAAACAGCAGTTTATTATGCTTACGGGTTCTGAGGGTCAGGAATTCACAGTGCTCAGCATGGAAGGCTTGTCTCTGCTCCAGGATGTCTGGGCCTCAGGTGGAAGATTAGTGGGATGGGAATGAAAGTTACCTGGGAAGTTGTTTGCTCACAGATTGGTGGCTAATGTTGGCCATCAGCTGGGCACACTGGTGGACACTGTGGGATCATTGTGGGTCTTCACAGCACAGTGGCTGGCTTCTCAGTGCAAATGAGCCCAAAGAGAAAGGTGGCTGGGAGCTGCTCCTTTTACACCCTTGCCTCACAAGTCCCTGGGACCACTCCTGCCAGTCTTCACTTGCCAGAGCAATCCCAACAGAGTGAGAGATGACCGGGGGAAGAGCACACGGGATGGAGATCTGTCCACAGTCATGTACAAGCTGCACAGACCCACACAGCCCAGTGGGAACCACATCTCCTGAGCATACAGCTGAGTGGGGTCCACAAGCCGGGTGACAGTTGTCATATGTGTAGGGAGTGTGCAAAGGCACCTCCAGGAATAGGTTATCCTAAAGTACTCAGGGCTGAGTTTTACAGTGTGAACACATTGGAGAGCTCTATCAAGGGCTGCATGTCCACGTAGAGGAGGAAATGACAGAGAAAGCTGTGGCCCTAGGAATGGCCTGGGCATGTCCCAATCAGGTCTATGTGCTAGGCAGTACTGCTGCAGCAGAGCTCTGCTGTCCTTCCCCAGTGAGCAGACCTGGGGAGTGGGTGGGAGTAGAGGCAGATCAACCACTCAGGCAAAGTGACTGCCCTTTGAAGCCAGGGATATAGGAATGGAGCACCTAGGCAGGGAAGAAGGGAGAAGCAGGAGGCTTTGGTGAGAAGGCCATATTTAAACAGACCTAGAAGAGATTTTAGCTTTGTAATGGGAGTGCTTTCTGGGCAGAGGGAACAACATAAGCAAAGACATTGCAAGTAATTGTGGCCCCTGAGGAAGATAGCTGTGCAGAAGGGAAAAGAGGAAAGACCTGGACAGCAAAAAGACCCTCGAGGGCTCCAGGAGACGGGCCGGATTAGAACCTGTGCTCCTCCGGAGCTACCTGCCGCCTAGGCAGTAGGAGGCCAGGTCGCTGCCCCGTGGTTCCCACCGCCTACTGCCTCCTTTATCAGCTCCTCTGCCTGCGCCTCCCTCTCCTACTCTGCCATGCTACGGACCCTTCACCCCCCCAGCTTCTCTGACCCTGCTCCCTCACTCCTCTGGATCAAAAACCCTCCAAACTGTACCCCAAGATTTCCCTGCTGATCCTCCCACTCTGGCTGTGAATTTCGCCCCTGCCTGCTCCCCAGTGGTGAGCCCTGCCCCTCTCGCATAGCTCCTCCCACGCCACCACATAGCTCCTCCCCATCCTGCGTCCCACCCTAGCTGTGAGCCCCGCCCCTCTTGCCTAGCTCCTCCCCTTCCCCGCTGCCCCGCCCCCAGCTATGAGCCCCGCCCCTCTCCCTTGCTGCTCCCCTTCCTGCTGCTCGGCTCGGCTCGGCTTGGCCCACCCTCTTCCCTCGGGACCTGTTCCTGCGCTGTCCCCTGGACCCTGGACCGGGTAAGCATCTCCTAATTTTGTTCTAGAAGATAGAAAACTCTTCGTGGGTATGCTCAATAAGCAACAGTCCGAGGACGACGTGCGCCGCCTCTTCGAGGCCTTCGGGAACATCGAGGAGTGCACCATCCTGCGTGGGCCTGACGGCAACAGCAAGGGTGCGTGGGCAAGGGGGCGGGACCCTCCGCAGAGACCAGCAAGTCCGGACTGCTGGGGAGGCTTAGGTGCTTTCAGTGCTGCAGGGTCTCAGAGCCTTTCTGCTGTGTCGCTGTGTGGCTCGCTCTCTGTCCCGCTTGCTCTCTGTCGCACCTCTGCTGTCACCCCTGAGACCTGCACTGCACCCCCCCCCACCCCCTGCGACCTCTCGGCCCCAGCCCCCTCTGCACCCTCGGGGCGTGGCTCAGCCTGTCTTGTCCCTGCAGGATGCGCCTTCGTGAAGTACTCCTCGCACGCGGAGGCACAAGCCGCGATCAACGCCCTGCACGGCAGCCAGACCATGCCGGTGAGTGCAGCCCTGCGGGGGAGGTGGTCGGTGGTGGTGAGGAGACACCCTCTCCAGGGCCGGGCTAGGGCAGAGCTGTTGTCCTACCCTGCAAATGAGGCAGGAAAGGATTCTGTTTCTCAGACATGGACAGTGAGGCCAGAGATAAGTTAAGGAATTGCTGGAGGTCACCCAGATAGAAAATACCCACTGTGGGTTGCGGCCCCTACTCCTGAGCCGTCCTGGATACCTATCCCTGAGGGTAGCACTCCACAGAGTGTGCAGGTAGCCTAGACCAGTGGCACGGAGAGCTGGGGGGTGGAGGTGGAGCCCTCGGCCTAGTGGGTCTCATGTGCCACCCCGGCTGCAGGGAGCCTCATCCAGTCTGGTGGTCAAGTTCGCCGACACTGACAAGGAGCGCACGATGCGGCGAATGCAGCAGATGGCTGGCCAGATGGGCATGTTCAACCCCATGGCCATCCCCTTCGGGGCTTACGGCGCCTATGCTCAGGCAGTAAGTGGGGGCAGGGTTGGGCGGTGGCTCTGGAGCTCACTCCTTGGAGGCTGTCAAAGAACAGGGACATGTAACCATAATCGAAAATACCACTCTGCCCTCTGGAGTGGAGAGGACCAAACATAAGTCCAGCGAGTGTATCCTCAGAAGAGGTGTGGGAAAGACTGGTCCAGTTTGTGGGGGGTGGGTTGCTGTAGGCAGGAGGTGGGCTGCTTGCCTAGCTCTTATGGTATGAGCTGGACAGAAGGCCCCTGGCGGGGCACCAAGGTGGGCTGCCCTGAGCACTCTTCGCCCTTTGGCACCTGAGTGCTGAGCCCTGGAAGCACTGATAGGACATGGCAGGTTCAGATGTTTGGTCCTCATCACCCACCCACTGCCCGACTCATGGAAGTGTGTCAGAGGCCTTCAAGTCACTGGGACCACCAGGATCTTGTTCGATAGCCCAAAGTTCTCCACACACATACTTTCCCTGAAGCCCCCTCACATCCTGCCTCTGGCTCACCTTTCTCCCACAGTGGAGTCACTGCCACATTGTCTCCCTGGGTTTCCTGCAGATTGGTAATTCCAGCCACCATGTGACAGCACTGAGGTGCACTGTGGTCCTGGCTCTCAACATGCAAGCTCATGTCATCTGAGCAATGTCTAACTTCCGTAGCTTCCAACAGCCTCCCCTGTCCACACACCTTGGTAAAGAACTATGCCTAGAAGCTACTGAGGATTCTCCTGTCTCTTCTACCCAATAGAGTCCACCACCATTTGGGGCAGAAGCCCAGGCTGTTAGCACCACATAGGCTAGTCAACATCTCCACAACACTTTGGGTATCGTACCCACACATGACAGGACTTCCCCATGGAGCAAGTCTTCTCTCATCCCCACAACATTAGAGCCCCAAAGACCCTACTAATACTCTTGGATGTGAACATCTCCCAGAAAGGGGGCCCCTAATGACCAAAGAGGACTGAGCATGGCATAAGGACTCAAGGTGGTGGCCCAGGGGCTACTCAGGCTCCCTGGGGCTCAGGGCCTGGGAAGTGGTCTCCAGGACCTGAGTCCCCTGGTGGGGAGGGATACCCCCTGGAAGCATGTGATATTTTTTCCACTCCTTCTGCCCCAGCTGATGCAGCAGCAAGCGGCCCTCATGGCATCAGTTGCACAGGGCGGCTACCTGAACCCCATGGCTGCCTTTGCTGCCGCCCAGATGCAGCAGATGGCAGCTCTCAACATGAACGGCCTGGCGGCTGCACCTATGACCCCAACCTCAGGTGAGACAGCAGATACCACTGAGGGCCAGGCCTGGGGTGGGGCTTGATTTCAGCTACCAGTGGATCATCTTAAGGTGAGAGCACATGGTTTTTGGACCAAGAGGCCCTGTCTTGCTTAGAGGTTTGTCTCAAAATGTTTTCATTTTGTATGACCCCAGGAAAGAAAAGATGTGATATCATTCTGCCCATAATAAGACTCAGGGTGGTGAAATTTCTCTCAAGTTGTTTATCCATGAATTGTTAGGAAACAATTCACCTTTTTTTTTTTTTTTTTTAATGGATTTGGTTGTTACAGGGTCTCACTACAGAAATCGGACTCATAGTGATCCTCCTGCTTTCAGCCTCCTCAGGGCTGGGATTACAGGGCCATCATGCCCCAACTCTGGCAGGCTCAGCCTGTCCTGAGGACAGGGCTAGTGGGGCATGTGATGACAGGGATTGAACCTTGGACCCCAGGCTTGTCTAAGTTTGCCTAAGCAGATGCTTTAGTCGGCTGAGTGATCTTGCCGGCCCCAAAACAATCCATCTTGATCTGTTAATGATCAATTTTGGGAAGGAAATGAACATGAAAACCTCTTCCTTCAAAGTCTGAGAGAGAAGAGCACTGGCTATTTAGTGGCCTTGTTCAGTCCCAGGTCCGAGCCCTGTAGGGAGGCCTGTTTCATTTCTCTTTAAGCTAACCTAGATTCTCTGGCCTTTTCCAAGACATTTGCATAGCTAGCTAGAGAAACACCACAAGAGTTACCTCAGTAGGCAGGAGTTACCAGTCACAAGGTAATCTTTTGAGTGGCTCTCGGATATTGTCTAGTAGTCTCAAGCAGTGCATTTTGTTCCACACTCCTAGGACATCTGGTATTGTCCAGAGTTTTTTTTTTTTTTTTTTTTTTTTTTTTGTCACAGCTGGGAGGGGGAAATGCTATTAAAATCCAGTGGTAAATACATTGCTATACATCCTACAGTGCATGTGACAGTTCCTCAAAACAAGGAAATATCTGGCTCCAAATGATGTAGCGTTAAAGCTGAGGAAACCTACTTTAGTCCCAGGGGCTGATCCAACACACAAAACTCTCATTCATCAAGCTTTCGTGGTTCTCTGTGTCCAGGCTGTAGCATCAACCTTCTTGACATCCAGAAACTGTTCCTTTCTTGGCTAAAAGCCAGGAAGCAGCGTGCTACCTCTGGGCCCAGCGAGAGTACTGTCACATCCTTGATTCTGGTCTCCAGTCTCAGAGCTACTTGTGAGCCTGGCCAGTGGGCCAGCATTGAGGGCTTGTCCTCCGGGAGCCCTGGCTTTATACATGAAGAGCAAGGTGCTTCCTAGCCTCTGGGGCCTCAGTACCTTCAGTCACCCTGCCATCCACAGCTTGTGTTCTATTATTGGAATAGGGAAAATACAGTTGTCCTCTGGCCCCAACTTTGCTCTCACCACAATGACTGCCCCTCTTGCTTAATTGCAACAGGATAAGGTGTCTACCTTGTGAGTGCCACAGGAGTGACACTGAGCTACACAATGGCCTCTTCCCTTTAGTGCAAGGGAACCTTCTACATCTGAGCAGCAAAACATTCTTAAGGAAGCGGGTCAGGCCCCCATGGACCAAAGAAGGACCAGCCAGTACTGAATCAGCTGGAGTGGGCAAGAGCCACTGAACATGAATGAAGGAGGGCTAGGTGGAGACAAAATCCAGGCAGTTGAGAACAGTCTGTGTGCCGTAGGTTCAAGGACAAGTCACCAGTGGTCAGAGAAGTCTTTATGGAGTATGTGGGCTCTGAGCTCTACCCTTGAAAGATGGATTCAGTTGAGATGGGAAAAGCCAGTCCATATGAAAGATAAGCCAAGGCATGTTCACAGCTAAGATTGGGATGGTGGGTGAGGTCTTAGTCCATACCCAGACCCTTGGAGATAGGAAGCTGAAGCTCAATGGTTTGGCTATCTCACCTTTGTTCTGCTTGCCTTCCTTCTTCTCCAACCCCTCTCTGTCCTTCAAACCAGGTGGCAGCACTCCTCCAGGCATCACCGCACCAGCCGTGCCTAGCATCCCATCCCCCATTGGGGTGAACGGCTTCACTGGCCTCCCCCCACAGGCCAATGGGCAACCCGCTGCAGAAGCTGTATTTGCCAATGGCATCCACCCCTACCCAGGTAAGCACATCTGGTAGGCCTTCTGTCCTCACACAGCACACGCTTCTCTATTCCATCCCTGAACTTGCTGTTATAAAAGGATTGTGTGGCTACTACCCCCATCTGCTCTTTGGTGAAACCTTACATGGGTCAAGGAGGGCTTGTTGCCTGCCTTGCTTCAGGAAACCTGTGGTAGGAGAGAAGAGACCAAAATCCTACCCTTAAGGAGAGTTCATAAGAGTTCCCTTTGGGTAGAAAAGACACTAAGTCACTTGCACAGGCAGACAAAGGGGCTAGTAACCATAAATTAATTGAGTATAAATTTGAGCTATAAGAATTAAGGTGAGGGAGGGCTGGGGATATAGCTCAGCAGCACAGTGCCTGCTTGGCAAGTGCAAGGTCCTGAATTTGATTCCCAGAACCAAAATAAAAATAAGGAATTAATGTGATAGAAACTAAAAGAATAAGACTTAGTGTTAAATAGGAAAAGACTCATTGAAAAAGAAAGTGGTAGTGTAATGATTGGCAGTCTAGCTAGTACATATGGGCCCAGTCCCCTACCAAATCCCTGATCCACACCTTGGACAGCATCCTGGTACCTCAGACAGTCCCTGGCACCTCAATTATGAAGTGTGCTGTGCTGGAAGATCCAGGGGACTTGATTCAGTAAACTTTGCTGCTCTCACTCAGCAGCTCTCGTAGAGTAAGAGTGTGTTACTGAGCTGAAACAGCTCCACTCTTAGCTAGAGGATGGCCGGATACAGCCCCTGCCCAGCCAGAGGCAGTGTAATGCATGTATGAGGAATGCTCTGCCCCAGCATGGAGGGCACAGATGTGTTAGTTGAAAGAAGAGCCCTAGAAAGACAGCAGAACATGAAGTCAGATTCCAGTCAGAAACATATCAAGCTACAGACTATAAGACAATAAGGCAAAATGAAGTTTGGCCAGGAGTGAATGTTCTTGGCCAGACGTGGGTGGTGCATGTAACCCAAGCACCCTGGGAGTCTGAGGAAGGATGATCAAAAGTTCAGGCTTAGCCTTGGCAGTGTAGTGAGATCTTGTCTCAAATTTAAAAAAAAAAAAAAAAAAAAAATTAAAAATGGGCTGGGATTGTAGTTCAGTGTGAAGGCCCTGGGTTTATTCCCCAGTATGACAAATAAAAAGAGTGTTTTTCAGACTTAAGATGACAAAGATTTCAAATGAGGGGAGAGCTCTGCTCCTCGAAGCTTCCAGGAGCTCCCCTGAAGAGGAGGCTTGGATCAGACTTTAACAGATGGGCAGGAGATGGAGAGAGGAGGAGAAATAAGAGCACAACCCTAGGTGGGGGCTGTCCTGCAGCCCCAGAGGCAGGAAGGGGCCCACCCAGTAGGGGCAGGAGGAGTAGGAGGCTGACCCAGTAAGGACGAGAGGCCAGCGCGAGGAGACCTACAGGGCGGGTGGTCATGCGTCCCACCCTGCGTGCCCTTGGAGTCCACTCTGGAGCTTTACCACAGAGGCCCGGAGATTATGATTCTATGTCAGATGCAGCCCAGACATCAGTAGTATATAAAAGTTTCTCCAGCAGCACAGAGAGAGGATCCTGTGCTAGAGAGAAACAAAGGAAGGGTCTAAACATGAACTTGTTCCTGCCCCCAATCTCGTGCTTGCCTCAGAGCAGCTCTCAGTCCACACAGAAGCAGCCAGAGGGTGCAAGTGTGATGTGGTAGGCTCAGAGGGGCTGGAGTGTTGGTGAGGGTTGAAGACCCCGAGCTGGTGGAGGCAGCAGGTGAGGGGCTTAGCCGTCTCGGCCCACGCTCGGTGAGGCCACGCCGGCACACCTGGCTGGCTTCATTCCCCTCTTCCCTGCCTGCATGCCCATCTGGATCTCTGGATTCTGACAAACCTGCGCCTTCCCTGCCCCCACCAGCATCTGTGAGCTATTTCCCTCGTGGAATTTGGAAATGTTTCTTTCCCCTATTTGTAACAATCTGCCACATCCCATAAACAATTCCCTGCCAGAGCAAGAGGGAGGGATGGAGGGAAGGAAAGGAGAAAAGTAGTACATTAAAAAAATTAATTTACCATCTTTAAATGCAGAGTTTGGAGCTGCTATAATGAGCGAGATCTTTCAAAATGTTCACTCTTTGGCAGTTACTAATGAGGTCATTAAGCAAAGAAGTAGAAAGGGTCTTGTGAATGCTTTTCTCCACTTCCTACTCCCAGGTAGCTTCTCTGTTCCCCCCTCTTGCTCATTGAGAGCCTGTTGGAAGCACATGGTGTGGCCTTTATTATCACATTACCCCCTTGACGCTGTGTCTCTCACACACATGGGAGACCATTCACTCATTTCTTCAGGGCTCTATTTGCCAGCACTTACTCTGTGCTGGAGCTGCCGTGTACGTTGTGCAGGTTACAATTTGCAGAAAAGCAACAGACTGTGTGCTCTGAGCAAGGGGCACCTTCTCTAATTTTCATTAAGGCCTTGCATGGGTGAGGGAGCGGATCAACCGGATGTGGGCATCCCTCCAGAAAGCTCAGAGACTGGCAGAATAGACCAGCAGAGGGAGCAGAAGGCATAAGATCACTGCCAGGCACATCACAGTGGGAAGCTCTAGGACCAGACTAGGGAATGTAAGAGTGAGGTAGTGGCCCAGCACAGCCCCAGGCAGGAGAGAGCCTACTGTGTGCCCCACCTTCATTTCCTCCCTCCTATGCACTGTCCCTGGGGCCAGCTCCCTTTCTGCATCCTGGCTCCCAGGTGGTATCAAACCTGCCACCCACTATCTCTAGGGACTTTGCCCCCACTCCCTGGACTCCCTGGAGATAGTCTAAGGACTATTTCCCAGTGGAACTTCATCAAAGAGTCCTCAGAAAGGGAAGTTGGGGGTTCTCCTTGGCTTCAAGGCCTCAAAGCTTAGCATAGCCTTAGGGGTTGACGTCCTGCTACCCTGTGTTACCCAGTTTGCTCAGACATACTGGGGCTGGATCCTCATAGGTGAGGCTCTGTCACCACCTGCCTCTCTGAGCTTCCAAGGCCAGCCTAGCCCTGTGCCCGTCGTTACTGACCTTAGCTACTACACCCTGTGTCTGTTGCTGGTCCGACTCAGGCTTTTTTGTCTATAGCTACTCAGAACACAAAAACTACCGGGCTGAACCAAGCCTTTGCCCCATGCAACTTCCTTGAGTTTCTTGCCACACTTTGAGCTCAAGGGGACCTTTCCCCATGCTGGGTGGTCAATACCCCAGAGCCATAGGTCAGAGGGAGGGAAGGGCCTCGGCCTCCTGGTGCCTCTGTTTCCGTGAACAATATACTTCTCCCTGCCTGTCTGTCAGGCCAGTTCTTGCTGGGAGGTTGCCAGCAAGGCCGTGCCTTACACACATTCCCAAGGAGGAGAGATGAGTCCTCAGGACGGGAGTGGGTGGCCAGGGGACAGAGGGGCAGCCTGTCTTCCACCTAGATGGGATCTGCCAGGCCTTTGCTCGTTCCCTGCTCCTCACCCCTGGTGCATTTCAGTGAGCCTCCCTCCTGACAGTCTGCAGCCTAGGGCTGGGTCCCTCATGCGTGTCCCCACCCAGGCCCTTGCAGTGGAGCCTTGCTCTAGCGTCTCCTGCTCCTTCTTCAGTCTTCTGCATGTGCCCCATCTCCCTTACCCAGGCTAGCTAAGGTGGGCAACCCAGTACCTTACAAGGGCCCTGGGCACAGCAGGGTGAGCTCCTGCAAGACCCAGCACTCAGGGTCCCTGTATCAGATGCCCTGCCTGCAGGGGCTGGAAAGAGGACTGTAACCATGGTATTGCTGCGTGGTGGGCGGTGGTACATTGGGTGGGCATCACTGACCTCTGCTCCTTGGCTCCCCTACAGCACAGAGCCCCACCGCCGCGGACCCCCTGCAGCAGGCCTACGCCGGAGTGCAGCAGTATGCAGGTCGTTAGTATCCACGCGTCCCCTCGGCTCTTTCCCTGGCTCGTCTTTCCATACTTTGACACCAGTGCCCCCTTTTCTCACCAGAACTGGGCCCAGCACTGCATGGGGTGGGAGGAGGGAGTGGCAGCAGCCTCAGCAGAAGGAGAGGGGCTGTGTTGGTACAGACACCCCAGCACTCCACACACCATCCCTGTCTGGACCGTGTCCCTCTTTTGGATCCCTTAGCGTTTAGGGCAGAGTTTTCCCAACATGACAGGGGTCCCCCGCATGGCAGGGAGGTGGTGGTTGGGCAGAACTAGTGAGCCAGGCTGAAGCTTTGTCCTTGCTGTATAGTGACTTGTTGTGGGGCCCCATTCCCTTTTCCTCCAGTGGTACCTCTAGGGCTAGTCTACCTAGGAGACCTGACCACACAGCAGTACTGGGGGCTTGGCTGGCCCTGGGATCTGGCCCAGGAAGCACAGATGCCTGTGCTGAGAAGTGGGTGTTCTGGAAGGGCAGCAGCTTCCACCAGCTTATCCAGCCAAGGAAGCATGATGGGAGCCAGAGGGAGAAGCAGCCCATGGTAGTAAAGACAGAGATGAGAAAAGACAGCCTGGGGCCAGCACATGGCCATGGTCACCGGGCCAGGCCATGAGGCAGGCTGTCCCCTTCCTACTGTGCCGGGCTGGGCAATACACCACATTCATCCCCACCCAGTTTGTGTCCTGTTGCCTTACTGGTCAGGATTCCTCTTTACTGTCTTCAGAGAGTCATCCCTGTCTCTCCTGTGGGGGACCAGGCTGCCTGGCAAGGTAGGACTCCGAGGAAGCTGGCTTTGTGCCTCCAGAGCCGCTGGGAAGTTCTTTCTCAGAGAGAGAGCCTGCTGCTTGGGAGCCAGGCCAGCCACAGCAGGGAGCTGGCTGCTCCTGTCTGAGCGCTGACCAGTCCCCACCAAGTACAAAGAACACCAGGTGTCCTGCTCAGTCCCCTGCCCCTGGGTCTTCCCCCTGGAGGGCCCCCAAAGCCCAGTCCATACCTCAGTGGATCCCCACCTCCCACTGCTGCTTGAGTAGCATGAGGGAGGTGAACCAGGGCTGTCTGCTGTCTCAGATTAAGTCTGCCCACCCCCCACACATACACACACTTACACTCACACGGACCAACACCTCCAAATGTGCATGCATCCACCCAGGTATGCATGCACAAACACACACTGTCACCCACACATGCAAGTTCTCTGATCTTCACGCTGTCCCTTCCCTTTCACTAGCACTGTAAGGTGAAAATTGCTTTCTCCAAAGTGGCCATGGTGACATGCACCTCGGGATTGGCCTATCTTCCCTGCCCATCGCTGAACTCTCTCTCTCTTCCTGCCTCTCACCATGTCTGTCTGTCTCTGCGTCCCATGCTGCCTTGCCTCTCCTCTCTGCGGCCCTCCAGCAGCTGCCTACCCTGCGGCCTATGGTCAGATAAGCCAGGCCTTTCCTCAGCCACCGCCAATGATTCCCCAGCAACAGAGAGAAGGTGAGTCTCAGCCCCATCCCGCCCCCTGGCCCTAAGAGGTTGTCACCTGGGCCTCTGGCTTCTCCTGGGTCTCCGGCTTGGGCTTTGGTTGGAAAGGCGGCCACATCTACGTGTGTGTATGTCTGGTGGTGGGTGGGGGAATACAGCAGGATTGTGAAATGCGGCACTGTCCTGATCTCCTACCCACAAATGGAGATATGCAACTTGTGGGCAGCTCCTCAGACCGGAGTAGCATCCTGGCCCAGAGGTAGGAGAATGGGCACATTGCCCTGAAGGCACCGGCAGGTCGTACACCTTTCCCCCTCCCCTCCATCATTTGCCACTGCTGTGACACCGCTCACAAACTGGTATCTTAGTCTTTAAAAAGTCCTTGAGAACGGTTGGGGTTATGTTCCTTCCCCAGCAAGTCCTTGAATTAGCCTTGAGAGAGAATCTCACTGAGTTAGGTATGTGTCTTTCAGCAGAGACCTTGCCCTTGCCCCAAGGAATTGCCAGCCTTATGTAGGAGACAGAGGTCATCCTTTCTGAGGCCCCACCCCTGTGCTCCCAAGGAGGCAAGCTGTAGCTGCGTGGGAGCGTGGCTTTTGCAGCACCACTGGCTGTTACAGCTGTGGGCTTTGAGAAGGGATAGGGTGAGTAGCCCGTGGTGGACAGGAAAGTAAAGCCCTGCAGGAGCTGGCAGGATGGGCCAGAGGAGGGGAGCGGGAGAGGTAGGTGCTCATGGCTAGGGAGGCAGGGAGAGGTGTTAGTTCCGGATGGGAGCTGTTGAGCCCTCTGGGTGACCAGCAGACACACTGAAGCGCCCAGTAGGACTCCAGTGGCAGGACTAGATGTCAGAGTGGGCGTGGCCCAGTGCAGGTCCAATGAAGTGCCAGCAGGGAGAGGCTGGCCTGGAAAGACACATCCAGAGGTCCTGATGTGCACTGCACAGAGCAGGCAAGACCAATGCCTTAGGGGGCAGGGAATTCAGCGGTCTTCAGATGGGAGCAGACTGACCACAGCCCTGGACCGTGGGTGACTCAGGAAGGACCGGGAGCATCTTCTGGTCCCCACCACTTTGACGCCATAGGCCCCTGAGAGGCTGAACAGCTGAGAGCCTCGGCTTTGAAGCAGCCTTCTGGGTCTGACTTCCAGCTCTGTCACCTCCACCCCACATGGTCTCGGACAGCACCTATCTCACTGCCTCAGCCCTAGTGTCCTCACCAGCAAACTGAGAGCAGTGAAGACCATTTTCTGGAGCGGCGTGAGGGTCAGACCTGCTCAGGTGCCATCTGTTCTGCACTCAGCCTGCTTGGGCCAGACTGTTATCTCCAAAGCTGTTCACGAGGCATGCCCCTCCAGCGTATGTTCATTAGGAAGCTCCTGAGATCTGTGTCAGCAGCTCGCCTGGTGCCCAGAGGGCACGTGGAGAGGCCCTGCACACATTTTGTCCTGCAGCAGCAGAGTAGCACCTGGTTCCCCCATCAAGGTGTGAAGTGGATGGGAGGTGGTCATCAGCTCTCTCTGTTCCCAAGGGTCCCTTCCCTTTGTGGGAGCCTGGGGCTAGGAATTCTCCCAGTGCAAAGTTTCGTTGGTCAGATCAGAGGCACAGGTGCTGGCCTAAGGGTCCCAGTCAAGGTCTACAGCAGAGAACCAACAACGGTGCCCACAGGCCCTCGTGCTGCCAGTGTCATGCCGTTGGCTTCTAGTCCATGTCTCTGTACCTGTGGGCTCATGAGTCTCTATAACCTGAGAGAGAGAGAGAGAGAGAGAGAGAGAGAGAGAGAGAGAGAGAGAGAGAGAGAGACCCTGCATCCTGGACCAGCCCTCTGGTTGTCCCTTCACTCCTTGGCCATCATGCACATGCTGAGCTCCCTGAGCAGCAGCAGCTAGGGAGAAGCAGGGCTTTACACCAACATTGCATGGTTCGTCCACACATGGGTCACAGTGCAGAGTGGGTTTCCAGGGAAGGAGGAGCTGGCCCAAAAGGAGGAGGTCTCCATCACAGAGAGGGGAATGTAAGTGGTCCAGGCAGGGGACAGCAGGTACAAAGAATGCTACTGAGCATGAGTGAATCTAGGGCAGGGGAGCCAGGAACAGAGGAGGGTTGGAGTCAGACCAAAGCTGTACTCCACTGTTGTATGGAGACTAGATGAAAAAGAGCTGTATTCCCATGGCCCTGCCAGTAGTCAGCAATTTCCCTGTGGAATGCCACCAAACCAGAAGATAGGGTCAATGGGAAGAGCCCTCTAGCTAGCACCTTGTCCTTGAGCTGAGCCTAAAAACTACCAGGTTCCTGAATGTCTTTGAGGTCTTCTGCTTCACAGGGGGAAGGCAATGTCACCCTTAAGAATGGTTCTGGCTCAGGCTGCCAGAGGCGGCAGTACGCCAGGAGTAGCCACTACTTGTGTCTGAAGCTCTGTGTTTCTGCTTCTCTGAGTTGGACCAGATTGCTCTAACCTCCAGACAGTCCTCTGGCTGTTCTGTAATCTGAGAATGAAGGACTGCAGGAAGGAGCTGGGCTGCAGGCTCAGTGCTGAGGGTTGGGGGCTAGAACTGATGGCCTCACTTCCCAGCCGGGCTAGAGGGTTGTCCTTGGTAGCACATCCTTACACCATGCAGTTAGGACTGAATGATAGCCCCCGTCTCGAAAGGCTCTTTGTCTCTTGAAGGAGAACAGATAGAACATCAGGAAGCAGTTTGCAAAAGCCTTGAGTTCAAGGCAGGTGTCACATGGGGTGAAGCCATTGTTGGGAACCCAGAGACGGGGGAGTGTGGGCAGGTGAGAAGACATGTACTTGACCACAGGTGGAGGGGATAGGAGGACAGGAGGAGGTAGCGCAGGCGGCACAGGCAGCATGGGTGTCCAGTCTGGTCAGAGGAAACCTCCAGATATGGAGAAAGAGCCCCAATCTAGAGAGGGGAGAAGCCAGTTTTGGGGTGCTAGAGGGGGAGGCAAGAGGTACTGTCCAAGAGAGATGGTGGCTGGTCCTGGAGAGCTGCAACTTAAATGGGGGCTCCAAGCAAGTTCCTGCCTCAGAGAGCCTCCTATCTAGCTGAGAACTTCAAGGTACATTCACCCAGCACGTACCAGGGGAACACAGCACAGTCGCAGCTTATAGGGCAGGGGAGGCATTCCCCCAAGCTTGGGGCTGTGAGGGGGCACCCTTCCGCTTGGTTCTGGAGGCGCCGTCCACAGCAGAGTGCCTTCGCGGAGGCTGGGCTGGGGGCTGATCCAGGGTCCGGGGAACTCAGTGGCTCAGGTGGCTGGCTCTGGTGATCAAGGGAGTCTTCAATCTAGGCTGTGACCCTCAAGGAGGTGGAGATAGATGGTGGAAGGAAGGAGGAGGTGGGAAGGAACAGGAGATTATGAAGAGAAGAGACACTGAGACTATGGAGGAGGTTCTCTGCCCCAGAAGTGGGTAACTTATCAGCCTCACTGTCCCAGCAAACCAGGACGGCTATCTGGTTGTGAAAGCTGCGTAGTGGACCATGTTGGCACCTTGCAGCCTGTGCTGCTAAGCCCAGGTTTAGGTCCCCCTTAACCTCTGATCAGAAGTCCATTTCTTATACAAATCCAAGGGCAGCCGTTTGCTTCCCACCCCACCATAGATTGGTTGCCATCACTGAAATGGTGACAAATCACTCCAAGTGGTACATGGCAGATGTTCTTTAAGGTGGTGGAGATAGGCCACACATCTTGGAAGGATTTCCATTTCAGAGAGTTAAATTGAGCATTTTCACCATTTAAAAAGGATTATGTAAATCTTTTTCTGGAAATTTCTGTAGAACTCCACGGTACTCAGACTGGGAGTGGAGTGAGAGTTATAAGAAGAGAAAGGAGTGCATATTATGGATGTCACAGCCTAATTTCTTGTCCAGATTCCATCCCCCCACCATCACCAGCTTTATGTCTTTCAGCTAGTGACTAACTTTTCTGGGCCTCAGTTTCCTCTTGGGACGGAGGGGCTCAGAACGGCCCAGCCCAGACGCACACTATAGAAGTGGCAGGGCTACTCCTGACACAGGAAATGAAGACCCTGAGTGGAGTGAGTCTCCAGGGTGCCCTAGCTAGTCACACAGCCTGCTGGAGGAAATAGGCTACATCTTGCTTGCTGCCTTTGCTAGCAAGTGAAGGCGACTTGCAGGACAGGGCTGTTGGGTGGGGATCAGGAACCTGTCTGAGCTGGGCTTTTGGAGGCGTTAGGAAGGGACGTCTCATCCCAGCATAGGACAAAGCTGTCCCAGGGCCATTCCGTGTCTACCTTCCCCAGGATAGAGGTTGGGCAGGAGCGGGCCCTCCAACCTTCCTGCTCCTCCCTCTCCTCAGGACCCATTTCCAGGGACACAGCTGGCCGGGCTTTGGTATGCTCACCTCATTCTCTCATCGACTTCACCCCTGGAGCCCCAAAGTTGCCAGGCTCCTGTTACTGATTCGTTTTGTAGAAATGGCAAGCGAGGCAGAGAGGTCAGAGATGTGCCAAAGGGCAAAGCAGAGATGACAGCTTAGACTTGGGGCTCAACAACCCCCACTCTACTGGGGGCCCTTGGATCTTAATAACCCCCCCCTCCTAACCTCACCCCATCCCTCCCCGCTGCGCTGCCTAACTCGCTCACCTCTCCTCTGTCTCTCTCTTTCCCCGCCCCGCCATCCCTCCTCCCTGCCCACCCCCTCCCCTCACCGCAGGGCCCGAGGGCTGTAACCTGTTCATCTACCATCTGCCCCAGGAGTTTGGGGACGCTGAGCTGATGCAGATGTTCCTCCCTTTCGGTAATGTCATCTCCTCGAAAGTGTTTGTGGATCGGGCGACTAACCAAAGTAAATGCTTTGGTGGGTAAAGATAACAAACCAATTAGCTTCGCCTAGGATAGGGGCCACACACCAATTTACCAGTGTCCAACTGCTTCCACCTGCTCCTCCCATGGCCCCTAGGTGCTCCCCTGGCCCAGCATCCATCTCTCAGCCCTCCTCTTTCTTCTGCTATTCTTTTTGCTTTTCAGCTTCCCCTGCCCCCTCTCCCCAACCTGGCTCACACCTCGCATATACCAGCTCAAGAGATGGGTGTCCTTTTCCTGCCAAGAGGCCCAGCTCCACCCAACTGGGAAAGGGCAGGGCCGCTTGGGCCTGGGGTGGGAGGGCAGTGTGGAGCCAGAGCATCTTCTCCCAGCAGCCTGGCCTCCCATGGTCCTAGTGCCAGCCCAAGTCTGGAGGAAAGCCCAGCATGACCTTGGGGAAGCCAACCCCAGGCCTTACCCCACTGCTTCTCGCTGCTCTCTCCACCTCTGTCCTGCCACCCTCTCTGTCTGCCCTGCTCCCTGCTCCCCTCCTGCCATGCAGTGACTCCCCTCCCGCCCACCCCCAGGCCCCCAGAGCTGGGCATTGTTGAGGAGCCAGGAGGAGACTGACTGGTCCCTGCCCTCAGGAAGCCTAAGCTCTGAGCCCAGATGGAAATCACAGCTACTGAACTGCAGTGAGCTCTGCGAGGCACCAAGCAATGAAGCCATCAGGAAGGCAGAGGAAAGACAGACTGGGCAGAGGTGCGGGGCTGGGATGGGGAGAGGCAAAGGACAGGGAGCGAGGTGGCAGGCGGCTGCGGGGATGGAGGAGGGCTGGTGCAGCAGAGAGGGAGGGTCTGCGTTGGGGCGGGCTCCCGGCCGGCGGCTGTGCTGATGTAGAGCCATGCCAGGCTGTGGCATGCCGGGCTGCGAAAGGACGATGGTGGGAGGATGAGTGCAGCTTCTCCAGATTCACCTGGTGGCAGGGTGTCAAGTGGAAGAGGGCAGACTTGGGCAGATCCGGGAGCCCGGTTGTCAGGTAAAATACCATGCCTGGGTAAATCCGAATTTCACACAAATGATGAATCTTTTCTTAGTATACGTCCCACACATTGCTTACTGTGTGTCTCATGTAATATTGGGATATTCTTATATTAAAAAAGCCTTAATTGCTCACCCAAAATTTACATTATATTAGGCATGTTGTTTTCTTAAATTGAGTCTGGCAGCTCTTTCTAGGAAACTCCAGATCTCCTGCTGGGTTGTCCCTCATCTCCACACTTGTCCCCTCCACTGCTTCCTGGTCCCTTCTCCCTTCACTTTTTCCTTTTCCTCCTCCTCCTCCTCCAGTCCATCTTCTGGGCTAGATCCCCTCATCAGCATGTGAGAACTTCGAGTGCAGTCCCCAGAGAGCCACGCATGGAACCAGAACACAGTCTGCTGCAGTTCCCAGGCTGGCCCCAGTTGTGGGGCAGTGCAGAGAAGGAGGGGCCTGCGTTGGCCAGGGAACCCAGGTCTCAGCTTGGGAGTGGTGCGTGGAGACCAGGCAGCGTGGAGGACGGGCAGCAGGAAGCACATGTTAGCACATTTCCAAGTTAAGGACAGGCTTTTGAAGATCATGAAGGGCTTGAGGACTCGGGGTGGATTCGCAGAGTAGTTAAGATTTTGTATTGCTGTCCCCTGCACCCTGGCAGCTGCCATAGGAAAGCTATGATGCTTTAACAGCATAGAGTTGTCCCAGCAGCTCATATCTGGGGATTGAACTCAGGACCCCGCACTTGCCAGGCAAGCGCTTATTCTACTGAGTCATCTCCCTGGCTGGTATTTCCCCTTATGGATTACAGAGATGTATGCAAAAATAAGGATCAGTAGCATTTGCTCTTCAACTCCTAAATGTCAGTGAGAAGACAACGTCCCGGAATCCAGGAAGCTTGGGGGGTGGCATCTAGGCTCAGTCAGGCTAAGGTCATCTGGTACATGGGTGCTGTCCCTGCAGGTGCAACCTGGGTTTCACAGGCATTTCCTCCGAGTCGGCCCCAAGTCCTAACCACTTCAGCAGCTAGCCCACATTAGTTCCCCCAGAGCAAGATTGCTTTCCTGCTTTTTATTGAAAACACCCTCCATATACCTCTGTACTGCCTTTTCTTTTCTGTCCTCAAACTCTTAATGGTAAATATCTGTCCTTGAAAAGCCCCCACCGGTGTAGCCAGAGGCTCTTCATGGGCCCCTAGAGTTCCCTGGCTCATTCCTGCAGCAGTCTCCTGCTCCTCTCCCAGAGTCCTACCCTGTGAGGCGTAGCTCCACTATGAACCCTGTAGCCCCCGTGACCTCATTTGTGAAATGGAGGTGTTAGCAGCCACTCCATGAGGTGACCCACAGTAGGGCCTTGGTCTGCACAGATTCTTCCAAAGTACTAGGGTTCCTTTTGCCATAAGCGCAGTCCTTTATTCAAGTGGGTCCCGACTTCAGGCTGCACTCACTCTTAATAAGCATTAATGTAACTGTTAGGAAATCAGCCTTCCAGAGGCCTTTGGAGGGTGTGTGCAGCACAGATGGCTCCCACTGGGGAGCAGTGTTGTAAGTGGGAGGACACACACCAGGAGGGCATCCCATCTGGGAGGCTTCCCATGGTCTTTGAGGCAGGAGCTCCTGGAAAGTGTAGGAGGGAAAAGGCTGGAGAAAGAAGGGAAGTCCTGGGGGCCTTGACATGGGAGACAGTGCCCAGGGACCTGTCCAAAGGGGTCTGGAGTCTGTGTACAGACACTTCCTGCCTGACTGCTAGGAAACAGTTCCCTAGGTCTAGAAACTTCTGGGAAGCTGAGCTTCTTCCCTCCTCCAAAACTTCCCAAGGCCTGCCACACCTAGTGGCTCCTCTTTTTCCTGTCTCCCCTCAGATAGCCCCACCAGGCCCTTTCCTCTTCCTCCTACTCTCCGATTTGCTTGTTTTCTTTTCTGCAATACAGCCAGGCAGCTGAGGTGGAAGGTAGAGTCTGTGCTTGTGGTTCCAGTGTGCAAGCGGAGAGATAAAGAGTGCCGCTCTGTCTGAGCAGACAGAGGTTTTTGTCCCACCACCCCTGGTAGTCTGGGGAGAGCAGTAGAGGACTTCTGAAACCTGCTGTAAGCTGCTTCCCACAATGTCTGCGAGGCAGGAGCATTTTGAGTGACTTGACTTTAACCATCAGATGCAGAGAAGGATGGCAGGAGGGGATGAGAGGAGTTGGTAGAAGGATGAAGGGCGGCTAGTTGCCAGTTGTGCACAATCTTCAATCTTTCCTATGTAATTTGGTCTGTAAATTTATACAGATGTTGGCTTTGTTGCTCTGAACCTGGCTCTGACCAATTTGGCCAGCACTTTGTGTGTGCGTGTGTGTGTGTGTGTGTGTGTGTGTGTGTGTGTGTGTCTGTGCTTGGGTCTACACACTTGCAGGAGTGAGCTTTGCGTACACAACTCTGCCCCATTTTTGGTGGTACATGGCTGCATAAACAAACTGAGCAAAGAAGGAATAAGACAGGAGACTGACGGATAGTAGCAGTGTCTATGGGTGAGGAGAAAAAATGGAGAAAGAGCCACCAGGTGGGGAGAGAGAGGAGTATCTCTTGAAGTGATGTCATAATCATTCCAAGGTACCAGACAATTACTCAGGAAAGCAGCTCCTCTTCCATTTGGGATCTGGGCTTAGGTACATCTGTCTAGTGGCCAGTTGGGGCCAAGCAACCCAGCCCACAGAGGAACATCCCAGGGACAGCGGAGCATCTCACCAAGATGAGTTTCTTGTATGTTGTAGATAAGGCTGTTTTACAGGGTAAAGCCCTCTGAAGTTGAATGAATTTAAGTAACTGTTAGATGAAACAAAGTTATAACGATTTATTTACTAGAGAACTTGCAGAGGGGATTTTGTTAATGTCCCTTGAACTTGCCCTGAAGGGGCCTGGCTCCAAGCCTACAAGCTCCTTTCTCAAAAGTTAGGTAGGGACAATTTGGAAAATGCTGGTGTAAAGTATGATCTCTATGAGGAGATGCATTAGAAATTACCAAAACTTCACTTTTGAACTGACTTTGGGGATATTGCCAGTTCCCGTCTGGGGGATTTCTTGTTGACCGGGAGCCACCACACCTTTTCTCGGAGGATCCGGAGTAGTGAGGTCCGGAAAGCAGTTCCCCAGGCCCTGAGTACATAAAAGGCCCTCAGCCATTATTTTTAACAGAGCCAGTTTACTAACTGCGTTAATGTCTACCGTCAGAGTTACTACAGGCGCACTGCAGGGCTGCGGGGCTCCTCTGGTGCTGCACGCTTAGGCCAGGCATCTGCCTCCAGGGCGTGCAATTTTCCCCGCGGAGGGACTGCCGGCAGCGCCAGGGGCCGAGGTGGTGGGTGAAGGCGAGTGGGTCCGATTTACCCGCTTGGCCGCGCAGGCTCGTGCAGGGCCGGGAGAGGGGCGACCCCTCCGCCCTGGGCAGGGCGCGCTGGCGCGGGGCGGCCGACAAGGCGGCGGAGAGCTTTCTCCGAGGCGCCTCCCCTCCGCCCCCTCGCACTCCTCTCTCTCCCCAGGCCGGCACCCCGTGCCCTCCCGCTGCCAGGCCCCCTCCTGTCAGGGAGGACAGTGTCCAATAAACTCCTCCACCCGCAGGTGTGTCCGCCCTCCCCCCCGAAAAGAGAGGGCCGAGGTGGCGGGGCCGGCCGGGGTGGGGGCGGGCGCCTCTACGAGCCCTGCCGGGCCGCGGGCGCCCCCTGGGGGAGCGAGTGGCGTCGCCCCGAGCAGAGGTGCGCCCAGCGGCTGGGGGAGGGGCCCCGAGCGCGGGGCGGGGGCGCGGAGCTGGGCGGGGCGGGCCCGGGGGAGGAGCCTCGAGCTCCGCCCCGCCCCCTCGGCCTTCCCCCTCCGGGAGCGCCCGGGGCGGCCCCGTGGAAACCCAGGCCTTCCTCCCTCGTGTCTCGCCAGGCTTCGTGAGCTTCGACAACCCGGCCAGCGCGCAGACCGCCATCCAGGCCATGAACGGCTTCCAGATCGGCATGAAGAGGCTCAAGGTGCAGCTGAAGCGGCCCAAAGACGCCAATCGCCCGTACTGAGCGCCGGCGGGAGCGTCCCCCGGGGGAGACCAGGACTCGCACAGGTAATGGGGCAGCTGGGGCGTGGGGACGGGAGGGCATGGGGACTCCAGACAGACCCGCCGCTTCCTTGGGCCACAGTGGGCCCTACCCTCACTCGTGCCTTGGACCCGATGCGCCCAGCCCAGCCTGCTCCTTACCCAGTACCTTCAGGGCAGGAGCAGAGCTGCAGTCATCTCTGCAGAAATGGGCACGATTATCCCCTTCCCCAGGGCCGAAGGAGCGGAGTGAGGGAACTGAGAAGGTGAGGTGAGCTCGGGCCTGGGCCTTGGTCTTCAAGGGCAGTCCTGTTGGCCCTCGGGTGGCAAGCTCAGACCCTGCAGAGCACTCTAGTCCTGGGTTGTGGTCTTCTAGACTGGCCCTTTGCTTCCTGGTTCTTCTAGCAGGGCTAGCGGCATTCTACACCCCTCACCCTGCAGTTGCCCACAGCTGAGTCAGGACCAAGGGGTAGACTGTACTAGGGGAACCTGAGCAGTAGACAACAGGATGGGACAAAAGTTAGGAGGTGATGGTGTTGCACAGAAGTCCCTTTCTTTGCCTGTTATATGGGTAATGAGTGGGGTGATTGTCATCTGTCTGCTGAGGCCCAGACCTGCCTAGCAGCTGGAGACAGCTGATCCTCTTTCTGGCCAAGTATTTTTGTGGGCAAAACAGCTTCTGAGAAAGTGATGGGGGTGACGTGGGGTTCCTTTTATTTAGCAGTGCTGTGCTTTGGGTACTGTTAGGTACTCAGAAAGTTGCTGTGAGAATGACAGTAGGTTACTTAGTGTGTTAATATTGTTGGTTACAGTGAAGTCATGGGGTCAGGAGCTATAGCCTGCCTCATATGAACGTTTCAGCAAAGACCAGAACACAGTGAGAGAGGGAGTGCTGTGGCAGGGCATCCTTCCTGTGAGGACATGGCCAGTGTGCAGAGGCCCCAAGGTGAGGGCAGGGGAACAGCAAGCAGGAGGCTGGAGGAGAGACTGAGAGCCAGGAAGCTTGGCATCTGCAGGTCAGGGTGGTGACTCTGATCTCCTCTGAAATTGGGGGCAGGTCTTGGAGAGTTCTGGTAGGAGAGTGATGCTGTTTACTTGCATTTGGTGGGATCACTGTGAACACTGTTGATACTGGGTTGTAGGGGCTGATGCACTGCTATGACCTTTTAGTCCAGGGCAACAGCAGCAGTCAGTGTTGAATGAAGGAGCTGATGTCTAGGTACTCTGTGAGAGCCAAGTCAAGGATGAATTAGGAGTGTGAACAAAAGGGGCTCTGAGGGTAACTCCCAAGACTTTGACCTGAGTGACTAGAAAAGCAAAGGGTTTGGGAGGTAGATCAGGGATGTGAGAGGCCTTCAAGTGAAAGTCCACAGTTTAGAAACTAGGAGGGAGTCTTTAGTATCCCTAGAGACTGGATGGAGTCTTCAGTATCCCATCTCCAATCCCACTTATCCTTGCCACATGAGCTACAGACATCAGCAGAATGCCCTCCTTCCAACCCACTGGAAAGGGGGTCTTCTCTCTTTGGGCTGTTGGGGGCACACTCTGCAAGCCTAGAAGAGCCAAAACTGGCCTCCGGCCTCCTAATTTCCTGGCTGTGGCTTGAATACAGGTGCAGACACACAGGTTGGTTCAGAGTCTGGGCAACTTCTGTCAGGCACGGGCACTGCACTGGGGATACAAAGATGCAAGGTCACATCTTGGAGCTCCCCTCTCTGTGCTCCCACAGACACAAAGACGCAGCCAGAAAATGGGTGCTCCTTTGTAGGAGCAGCAGAATGCGTCTGGGCACTGAGCTTTCCTGGATGTAGAACACTGTTCCTTAAGTGACTATAGCTCTGCCGGTTAGACATGATCCGAGCCAGGCTTTTCCCACTCTGGGCTTCCATTTCCCCATTATTGAAACCAAGGTGTTGAAGTCAGTCTGAAGACTGAGGGTCCGGAAACACACCACGGTCATCCCTTGAGAATCTGAGGAGCCACTATCGGTGCTTTTGATAGTGGCTCTTCTGTTCTAGCCACCTTAGTAGAACTTCCAAGTCAGAAACATTCCTGGGTAAGGAGTAGAGGAAGCCAGGCTTGCTGTTCAGGACATAAGGTAAGAATGGCCCACCAGGTAGATTCAGCTGGCACTCAGACTGGGTAGTAAAGGAGTGGTTTAAGAATCAGGGTGGGTTCTTCCATCATGGAATGCAAAGGCCAGAAAGATGAGACCCACAGACCTTCACATGGTACTTTCTGGGTACCTGACACTTGTCTGACAGGTAATAGTTATAAGCTAACTATAAACAGCTGTGTTTACCTATCAACTATAGCTATCAGATGGGTAGTGGCAGCATTTCCACTGTACCAATGGAGTACAAGAAATTTAAGTAACTTGTTCATGAACCAGTGAGTGGTGGAACTGAGGTTTGAAGCCAGGGAGCCTAGCTCCCTTCAAATGAGGGGCGTGAGAAGCTCCTACCTTCATTCCAACCCTGCCACCCATAGCATCCTGAATTTCAGAGGGGACACATCATGCCATCTCACTTCTCTGGGTAAGCCAAATGGCTACCTTCTTTTTACTACGCAGGCTTTAAATTAAACTATGTTATGGCATAACCCCTATAATAAAATTGGCTTCTAAACTTAACATTTAGCAGTGGTACCTAGAGCAAGACTTTGGAAACTAACAGAAAAAGGGTGCTGAGTAGTGGGAGCTTCTCAAGGCAGACTGCAGATAGTAAATGGGATATTCACTCCTTGGGCTGCCAGCTAGAGAGGGAAAAAAGCAGCTAAAAGATTGCAGAGTATCTAAGGCTAATATAGGGTGTTTATAAAGGACAGATGCACCACTACCCATCTACATAGGGAAACTTGAGCAGGAGCTAAGGGTACCAACCATAATGGAGAACAAAGAGGCAGTAAGGAAGGGCATCCCAGGCCTAGGATGGCTTCCTTGAACTGGTAAAAGTGGAAACACAGTAGTTTAGTGGTAATAGGTAAAGTCAGGCTCAGAGTGGGGCAGATGTGGGGGAGGGGTGCAAAGTAGCCACAGGGAATACAGTTGGGTTCAGTCTTTTAAAGTGAGGCCCTGGCTGGGGACACATCAGGGCTGGGGAAAATATGGTTCTTCCACATTGGTTTCTAGTCTTGTCCCTGTGACTGCTACTCCAGCTACTTGTCATGTTAAGATGAGTTTCTACAGGAAACTAGGGTGAAAAGTAGGCAAAAATATGGAAGTGGCAAGGCTCACACCCAGCAGGCAGAGTGCTCCCAACCTGGACCTGTCCAAGTCGGAGGTTGGTTTCCAAGGCCCCTGTTGTGCCTCCATGGTGACTAGTACACCCTGGGCTCCAAACCCAGCATTGGTTCCCAGACTCTGAACTCTAAGATTCTGTGGTTAGAGAAAGCACTAAGCAGGTGTCAAGTGGGAGTCATAGCTCTGTAACTGTTAGCTTTGGCTGTGAGTTTGCTTTTGCTCCATGTCTGGTATGAGCTTTGTAGGCCCAGGTACTCCTTGTGATCTATGTGGGGTAAGCTTGTAGCTTTGGTTGTTGGACCTGTCTGGTTAGAACCTAGTTGTTTTCGGATCTTGTTTTTGAATTGGTTCAGGTTGGCTGTAATTTCCACTCCCAGGTCAGTAAGGTGGAGCTTCTCACAACTGATCTAAGCTTCCCTGTGCTGGTCACAGATCCCATTGCCACTTCCAGAGCTCTGCTCTGTGAGGTGCCCCGGAGACTGGCACACAGAGATGTAGCTGGACCTTCAGGAAGCGAGTAGCCAGATGTGCATATGGAGGAGTTTGGGAGAGGTTCCCTGGGGGACTAACGGATATGAGGCTGCATTGTTTGTCTGGGGCCAAGTGTAGAAGAGGTAAGGGGATAAGAAAGTCTTCTACATTGAGCTTTGAGAAAAGAGACTATGTGTTCAGTGTTGAGTCCAAGTACCCAGGGCAGTACCTGGCACTGAGGGGTGGTTGGACTAAAGCTGGGGGAAGGAAAGGGAGCAAGCAGAGTAGGATGAATGCCCATGCCATGCCCAGAGCTGGTGTGGAGGGGAAGGAGGAGAATCTCCAGGGTGTCTTTTAGTTGCTGCTGCCATAACTTGTAGTGATGACAGAACTCTTCTCAGGTCCTTTAGGCCTCTTCTCACACCAAAGGGACCTGCCAAGTGGGCAGCCCGAGTGGATCTGGAATACAGATTAGAGTGACATCTCAAGACTTTCTAGGCATGTGATGGGCCCTACTCTGAGTGAGGGAGAGCTGGTGTCAGAAGAAAGCAGACTCCAGTTTGGGGCAAATGTAGGGCAGAGGTCTATGAAGAAGGGAGCAAGGGGATGGTCCTTTGGAGGCTGAGCTGAAGACTGGCTGTGGGCTCAAAATAGATCCACTGCTCAGCTGTGGCCCAGCTCATCTACTGTGGAGTTGTAAGGCCTCAGGTTTCCCTCCATTCTCCTTGAGGGAATACAAAACTGAGAACGGAAGTCTACCACCTGGAGAGCCTGGGAGACAGACTGGAAACCCTGCGAATGAGTCTAGGGCACAGAGGCTTTGGCTCAGGCTTTAGGGCCACAGAGGAACAGGGCAGATGGAGAGCAAGCTCAAGGATAACCATGGCATGGCAGAATGATTCTTGGGTAGGAGCAGAGGACCATGAAATGCTACCGGAGGGAGAAGGAAGCTGAGCAATTTGATGACTCCTAATAGAAGGGAGCTCATTCTTAGCCATGAGGACTCCACCTGCAGAGAGAGGGCAGGGCCTAACAATGGGGAGATAGTCTCAAAAGCTGAGGGTGGAAGGGTACAGCATAGAGGGCAGAGAAGTGAGGAGGAGGAGCCCTGTGTGGTTGGACCCACCCTGTAGGGCACTCTGTAGCCCTCCAAGTGGTTCTTTTGTGTGTCAGAGCTTTCCAAGGGCTTCTTGGGTCCAGTTTGGCCAACTTGGGAACAAATCAAAGTGTGAGCCAATACTCACACCAAGAGTGAGCAGTAGTGCCCAGCTTTGTTTACAGAATTCCAAGAACATCAATGTCATTGACCCTAAATCCGAAGATGAAACATGATCATTTTTGGAAGGTTCTGAGGAAAGAGGTGTGAGAAGAGTGGAAGGGGAATAAGCCTAGTGTGGGTGCTCATGCTGCCTGAAGATACCCTTCCCTAGGATGGGGTTCAAGTGGGATCCATAGGTGGGAGGGCTGAGCCGCTGCCCCTGTGGACCCTATAGCAGAGTGTCTCAGGGACACAACTCACTTTACCCATTGTCTGACCTGCTCAGCCAATCAGGCCCACCCTGACGGGCTCCCCTGGCTGGTCCTCAGACTTAAGTCACAAAAGGCAAAGCTGGGGTGGTCCAGAGAGCTCTGCATCTGGGGGAAAAAGAATCCAGGGTGTTAACAGAGCTTGCTCCCTGAGATCTGCTTGCCGGCCATGGTGGTTTGAGGGGCTGTTTTATTTTTGTCCCGGCCCCCTTGCTAAACCGCCCGTGCCCGCCTCCTCTTCCCAACGCATGATGAATGCCCTTAGTGGCCCTGTGTGAGGTTCTGCTGCTGTTCACAGTGTATCATGTGTCTGCATCAACAGCTGTGTGCGTATTCGTGTGTGTTGATGTGCCCATGTTGTCTGTCGCTGGCTTCCTCCATCCTTTGAGTTCTTTTCAGTTCCCTTATGATTTGACTGCGTTCTCTCATTAGAGCTTCTAGATTATGCTGTGGTCTGGTGCTGTATAAATATTTTTCCTTTTAATTTTGTTTTAACTTCTTCCTTGCCCTTCTTCACCCTGAACCCACTTTTCCTTCCCCCAGCCATGCTCCTGACCCCACCCAACCGACCCCTGCCTCTTCCCTCCCCCTTCCCAAACTCTCTTGTCCTCTTTCTCTCTCTCTACATATATAAATATATATATAAATCTTTTCTTCTTTTGTCATTCAATCAAATTCCAACAACCCAACCAGGGCCAGTCAAATCCACCACAGTCTCGCGCTGAGCTAGGAATAAAGTTCACGTAATCACATGAGAGTGGAGAAAAGTCCCCCATCCGTAAGTTCAAATCAACTCAAAGTTCACAGTGTGACATGATGGCGTCATGTAACAAGGCTAAGAATCGGTTGCATGACAATTGCCGTCGAGTTTCGTGGAGGTGCTGTGATTGGAGCGTTTTTCTTGGATGTCGTCTCCGTTGATGATTGGCCAGTCATGATCACACGTGCATTCTCTTGACTCTTGTGCTGCCACGATCTTTTTTGCTGTGCTCATTTTCGTTTTGTTCTTGGTGCTTGCAGTGGTTTTACTTTCTGTTGTTTGGTTTTTCTTGTTCAGCGTTTTTTTTTTTTTTTTTTTTTTATGCTTCTCTAGATGTCACTTAGAGAAAAAAAAAAAAACAAAAACTAAAGAACAAAAAATGAGTAAAAAATAAAGATGAATTCCTGAATTAAAAACATGGGATCATTTAACTATGCAAACCATTATTTTTTTCTTAAAAATAAGGAAAACATCTTAAACTTATCTATGCGTGGTTGATTTACTTGCACTTGAAAATATTGTGATTTTATTTTTTTCTAGAAATTTGGGGGCCTTTTTCAATTGACACTTTCCTAGGTCTGGTCTTTTTCCAGTTAGGCTATTTTAAATCTCACCTCAAAAGGAAAAACCAAAACCAAAACCAAAATATCTACAGTAAGAAAATGATATGAAAAAAATTCTAAAAAAAAAAAAACCAAAAACAAAAACTAGAGTAAAAGCCAGAGGCCTCTGTCAGAGAGCCTGGTAACAATTGTAAGGTTTGTATTATAGCCACTTCTCCTAAATTCAGCATGGGGAGGGGAGGAGGCAGGGGTCTGGGGGCTTGGGAGGGCTTTTTTTTGTTGGTTTGGAAGAAACAGTACTGACAAAAGCAAAATGCACCTTTTTGTTTACAACTGAAAAAGGGTCCTTGACAAGTGTTTTTTAATTTTATTATTATTTTATTTGGTGTTGTAATTGTTTAGACTGCTGTGTACGGTTTGCTGTTTGTTGAATCAACAGTGTGAAAAACCTGCCAGCATGGATTGATATACGCATGACGTTGTCCCCTCAACTGGGGGCTTTGCAGTTCTAACTTCCTTGATGTAACCAGTCACCCCATGTATAAGTGGAAGCTGCTTGCTAGAATGGAGATGAGTCTCATTTGTTAATTCACAATGATTAAGCATTTGCCTTCTGATTCTAGTCAGATCATGATTTTTTTCTTAAAAGCAAAACAAAATACCAAAATGCCACCATTCCAAACAAAATCAAGAACTGAGTTAATTTACTTAAGATTGATAATGAAATCTGTTCAGACCTTTTTTAGGTTATCCTGTCCACTCCCTCAAAGTTCTGAATTTCCTCTAAATTCCCTGGCATGTATGAGAAAAGTCTTATGTATGTGTGTATGTGTATATATATACATATACACATATCCATGTATATCCACATATGTGCAGGTGAATATATTCTACACATATATCCAGATATGCATATATATACACAGCCTCGCAAATCATTACTGACTTTGGGAAAGAAGTGGTTGGCTGGAAACTGGGCAAGGACTCTGCAAAATTCAAGTCATGGGTCTATCTTCCTGGTTTTCCTCAAACTGGGGAAGAATGGGTGAGGCAGCTAGATTTTTGCTCTCTTGTTTGCTAGGCTTCTGTATACATATTCTATCTGGGCTTGAGCCCTCAGGGATAAATTAACTATGAATTCATATCCCACAGTCCCAAATTCTTCCCTTAGATTTAGTCATCCCTCAATCCAGAACTCTAAAGGAACCCAATCAAGAACCCTTCCAACAACTAAACCTCAGCTGCACCCATCACCACAGATCCCCAGTGGCTTCTCACTCTGAATAGAAGAGCAAATTTCTTTTGGCTGTATCATGATCATGACTAATTCTCATACTGGTCTCTCTTCCTTCCCTCCTGCCATTCCCAGAGTTCCCATCCTACTCCCCCAAGGCAGGTTCCTATTGGTGTTTGGATGCAGTTGTGTTTTCTCTCGTGGCTTAATCAGCCCTGATTTTCTTCATTTTAGGGCAGGATGCTGAACGGGCTACATTAAAAAACAAACCTCTCTCTCTCTCTATTTATAAATGAGAACTGTTGGATGACACCTTTGACATATCAGCCAATATCAATCAAGCTGAAGACTCCAGACACTCTGTGTGACTGTAACATTTCTTCAAGGAAAGTATAGCGTCTATGGAGTTCAGAGGGCACGTGTTTGGGGAAAAATACACACAAAGAAGACGACGAAGAAAAATGAGAAAAAAAAAAAAAACCCACAAAAAAGGCAACTTTAAAACAAAGTAACGTGAGACCAGACAGGGAGGCTGAAGGGCTGGGCGCTGGGAGGAGACGCTGCTGCTCACCGATCCCTTGGCTTTTCCAGCCTGTGGGCGCCTGAGGCAGGCGGGGCAAGCGTGCTGTGGGGCCTGGTCCCCGGGAGCGGCTGGGAGGCCGCCACTGAGCACCTCTATCTGTCATTCCTTTAGCTATTTAGGGACCAAAGGACCAAACTTTTTATTGCAGATGTGTAGCTCTATGTCAAATAGAGGGGGAATGGAGAACTACCTCCTTCCTGCCTCCTGGCTGTTCTTGAAACAGCTTAGAGCGATTCTATGAAAAATGTAATAAAAAAAAAAAAAAAAAAAAAAACTAAAAAAAAAATTGGGAAAAAAAAAAAAAAAAAAAAAAAAAAAAAAAAAAACTAAAAAAACACACAAAAAACAAAAAAGGAAAAAAAAAAGAAAAAAATAATAATGCTTCAATGCTTTTGAAACAGCAAGATACTAGTTCTTTGATACTTTGAGAGGCGCTTTGATTACCCTCATTGAAGTCTATGACACTTTCCTATGGTTTTCTGTATTATATGTCTGGATGGAGCTGTTAAGATGAACAGATTGGTGGATCTTTGGGGAAAGCGACAAAAGTGTTACAACTCATTAACTGTGAAGTGTAAGAACACGAGGGGAACAAAGGGACTTCCAAGGCAAGGTCATTGTGAAAAGTCTGTAAATGCTTCTAACTCTTCCCCCTCTTAAAATCATAATAGTTGTACAGAATTTTAAAAAGGAAAAGTTTAAAATACCTATATAATAGAAGAAAAATTAGAGGAAAGCAAAAAATAAAAAAAAATAAAAATAAAAAAGGAAAAAAAACCTATAGAAGTTAGCGTTACTGCTAAAATCCCAGATGTTGTAGGACTGTACTTTTGTAGAGTTTAGACTGAGCATCAATCCCTTCTCCTCGCGAGTGCTGTCGGACGGACGCCGCCGTTGTCCCCGAGGGCCGGGCCAGACTCTCCCAGACCTGCGGACTCCCGGCTGCGCGCCACGGGCCGGGCAGGGCCCCTCGCGCCCAACGCTGCCGCCGCCGCCGCCGCCGCCTCTCGCTTCGCCGCCCGCCCGGGAGCCGCGCTCTCTCGCTCTCCGACAGCCCTGGACACCTCCCGCTTCACTCGCCGCCTTCCATGCTTGTTCGAGAGACTTTCCGGGCAAGGGAGAACTGGGAATTTTCATCTTTAAACAACTAGACAACACACACACACACACACACACACACACACACGCACACAAAAACCTTAAAAAATAAAAAAGAGAGAGAAAAACAAACAATCTTTGAAGAATTTCTGAAACTGTTTACAAGGAATTTTGAAAAACAGGGATGTTTAAATGATGCCGGCTCTGTTTTTCTGTAAATAAATTTGCATATTTTGTAGGACTTTTAATTGTAATGATAGAGAAAAAACAAGGAAAACTATTTAATGAAAGCACGATATTTATCTTTGGTAAATGACTTTAGAGCAGTTAAAGACATTGCTTAAAAACTCAGAATCAGAAAAAAACACTGAATTATTTAAGAACACATATATTTTAAAGTATATCATATTTATTATAATTTATTTGCACCCTTGGGAAGACTTGCTTTGGCATTCTGCCTCAAAAACTTCTCATTGATGTCCAGGTCATCTGGAGGCCAGAGGGACGTGCAGACCTACCATTTTTTTTTTTTTTTTTTTTTAGAAGAACAAATTTTCCAGCTTCTCTCAGGTCTCCTATCTTTCTTTTTGTGTCTATTTTATTATTGTTGTTGTTTTAATTTTCTTTTTCTTGACTCCTCCTTTTAGGATGTCCAGATGTAAAAAACAAAACAGCTGCAGTTCAGTACAACTGCTCTTTTCACACTCAACTCCCTAAAACTCCTTGTAACCTTCTGTAACTATTGGATGACGCTTTCTCCAGCTTAGCCCTAAATAAAGCACAGTTTAAAAAAAAAAAAAAAAAAAAGGACTCTTCTTCCTGGTTCTCTGCTTCTTGGATTCTAATCAGCTCTACCTCACACCCCAAGGTTCACCCATAGGCAGTAGCTGTGGTCTTCCTTCTCCCAAATTCTTCTAGGAGAGTCCTGAGTGTGAGCCTCAGCCCTGGGGCTCCTTCTGGGTGGTGAAGGAAACAATAAAAGGAAGTCTCATTCCACCCTAAGACAAGTCTCTTTCAACTACCACATATCTCTGAAAGTCCCTGTGACATTTGTCTGTGTGGAAGGGCTATTGAACATTACAGGAGTTGCCTTTCCTCTCTGATAGGAGGAAAGCAAGGCCACCTGCCCTGAAGGCAGACCAAGAGTTGGGGTGGGGATGTAGGAGGGAGAAGAAAGTGTGATGAAGGGGATGCAGGCACAATTCCAGATGGGCCTCTGAGCCTTTTGTCCTTGGTCCTGCAGGTTGCACTGTTTGGATATTTTGCCTTTTTGAGATAAGGTCTTGCTGTGCAGTTCAGGCTGGCCTTGAACTCACTTTGTAGCCCAGGCTGGTCTTGAACTCCCAATGATCTTTCTGCCTCAGCCTCCCTAGAGCTAGGATCACAGGGGTGCATCACCATGCCCAGCACTGGATACTTCGTGTTGCTGGAGAAAGGTGCAAAATCTGTAGACCCCTCCACTCCCCACACAATCCCAGCTAATGGGAGAGGATGGTACCCTCTGAGTCAGTGTTCTGGCTGTGGGAACTGGAACTGGGGCCCTGCTCTGGGGAACTTCCGAGTGTTGGTCCACACACACACATAGACAACAGAGAGGAATGTCCAAAGCCTTATGCCCAGAGTGGAGAGAAGAATATGATGCAGGGCTTGGTAGACCGGAAAGGCTGTGTTCTGAGGTAGGAGCCAGGACAGATGTGTTCCATCCATATGCCTTCCTCAGGCCTGTCCAGAGAGAGACCTTCTCAATTCTTCTTCTTTTTTAATTGGCGGAAGTGGGGATTGAACTCAGGCCCTTGTGCTTGCCAGGTAAGAGCTTATTCTACTGAGCCATCTCCCTGGCCCTCATTTCTACTTTTGCCCCTGCAGCTGTTCTAGGGATGAGGACATACTCCCTCCCAGGAGCTCTGTCACTTTACATGGTGAAGGGTGGGGAAGCTGTGAGGTTTTAGCTCTCTGGGGGAGAGATTTATCCTGGGCAGTCGGGGCTTCTATCTGGGTCCTTCTTCTGTAGGGGGGTGGTGTTGAGTAGATCTCAGAGCCAGCTTCCAAGCAATACCTGGACACCCTGTTCCACCCTTTCCTCTCAGAGTCAGGGGGCCAACCCTGTGAAATGTCTGCCTGAAGAGAAAAGACTTTCCATCTCAGCAAATGTGGACAGGCCTTCAAGCCTTGACTTCAGTGTGGAGATGGTTCTGGGAGAGGCAGTCTCTAAAAGTAATTCCCCCTTTCCTGCCCATGAGGCTGTGAACTCAGAGATTCCCTGCTCTGCACCCCCTGGGGAGCTGGACTTCTGGGAAGTTAGCTTCTAGGAGCAGACTGGGTGTTATGTGAAGAATGAAAAGGTATTGAAGGAATTCCTTGAGAGTGAGAAGGGGATCTATAGGTTTTGAAGTTGGCTCCGAAACTGATTTCTGTTGAATTTTTACAGCTGAAAGTCATTGAATCTGCCAGAGGGTGACCACCTTACTAACCCATACCTCTCAGGCCAGCCCCAGAGAGCCTCTATGTACCTATTTATTTGTACCCAGCCTACCCCCATACCCCGTGTCTGGGACACAGCCTCCTCTACTGCTATTGAAGGTGCTTCAGTTCAGTGGCGCAAGGGACACCAGAAGCTGCCAGTGAAGAGGAGCTGAGAAACGTGTTGGCGAATTTTACCTTTTCCAGGCCTGCTTGACTAGGAAGACGGAATCTTCAGAGCCAGATGTAAATATGCCAGTACTATAAAATAAACCTAAAAAAAAAACCCACACACTAAATGACTATGCATGGCACTTTGAGAGGAAATGTATCTATTAATGTTTGAAGGGACAGTTATGAATTCCTTGAAAACTTGTTGCAAACTCTCAGACCCCTTTGCATACAATTATAGGGAGCAGGAGAATCCCTGCAGCTTTTCCATCTCTCCCTGGTGAAAAGCACTTGATCAGCAGAGTCCAGAAAATCCAAGGTGTCCTCCTCTGTGTCTGCTTAAACTCTGGCTTTCATGCCACACACAGTATGCGGCTCTTTTGCAGCTCTCCCAATTGGAGCAGACCTTTGGTTTGTTATTATAAACTTTATTTCAAGCATAATAACGCCTACTGGAGACACTTGTGTAATGCACCACCACATGCCCACCCTCTAGCTTTGAATCAATCTGACACAACCCCAGGTACCAGTCATGTTATTGGTAGGTGCCTCAGCGTTTTCTGTGCTGCATGGCTGGGAGAAGGGTATTTGGTCAATTTGGGTCTCCACAACCTCTTTCCAGGTCTCTAGCACCTTCCCAGTTTTTTTTGACCTGTCTGACTTACAAAGTCCTTTTGGTTCTTTCTCTGCCCCCCCCCTTTTTTTTTGCTGTATTTTGTTGTATTTTTGAGACAGGGTCTTGCTGTGCAGTTCAGGCTGGCCTTGAGCTCACTTTGTAGCCCAGGCTGGTCTCAAACTCACAATGATCCTTCTGCCTCAGACTCCCAACCTCTGTCCCTTTATAATAATAGATTTTTCCTTCACCTTTGTCTTCTCTCCTTTTTACCCTCCCATCTTTATAGTGTTAATATGAAAACTTGCTTCACCCCCCCCCCCCCGTATTTAGGACAGGGCTTACAGGGTCTCACTACATAGATCAGACTCATAGTGATTCTCCTGTTTTCAGCCTCCCAAGTGCTGGGATTATAGGCATGTGTGCTACCATGCCCAGTCTCAATCGTTGTTTCAGTGTGCCCCTTGGGCAGGGCTGGCGCAGCAAGCCGGGATTGAATCTCTGCTGCTGTGCTCTGCCTAAGCAGGTGCTTTAGTCCACTCAGCTATCAGGCCGGCCCTATGAAAAGTTTCGATTGACATCTTTCACTTAATAGCTCCCATTCCCTTCTGTTTTTCTACAGCCCTGGCTTTTATTCCATTCTGAGCAAGACCACACCCCTTCCCTCCTGCACTGTCAGTGCTGTGAGGATCCAGGCCTGCCACAGCTTCCTCACCTCCTAGTGCTGCCCCCGTTGTATAGGGCAGTTGGCGCCAGTCTGACCAGATCCACAGTTCCTCATGGCATGGCGGGCACTCAGACACACCAGGGTAAGCCCAGATGAACACACCCCACTTCGGTGCCCACCTGGTAAGGTGCTTGGAGGAGCACGTGAGCAGAACAGTGAGCTTAGCAGCCCAGCTCAGCCCTGGGCAA